AGGTTCAGACAGTTCAATCCAATACCCTTAAAAGAAAGTGTCTTATTCAAATCGACTGATTTGAGGGGGGGTTTCACTTCACCTTAAACGTTTACCTTCGCGAACTGAAAGTTCAACCTTTGTTATTGCCTTTGTTATTACTTTAAACTTGCGCATGCGCACCTCCTACTTATGTAGTACCGCTAGGGATGTGTAGGGACGCTGGGGTGCCTTGAATTCATCGAAGTCCTCTCCGTATAGAACAAATAGACGGGTTTGCTCGTTTTGCCTACACTTTCCACACTTTTACGAAAAGTGCACACTTTGGCGTTCGTTTTCACGGAAGTGACGCAGACGTCGCTGTTCGTTTTGCGAGGGCATCTACCCCGATTTACACTTTCTCTACACTTTCTACCCTCGATCCCGAGCTAGTGCAACATGTTATAAAAAAGCGTAGGCTATGAATTCGGCGGCAAATTTCAAAATTGAAAAGACCAAGGAACAGGGAAACACAAAGTTTGTCCCAAGATCTCAACGTAATATAAATGGAAATAATGATCAGTACATTTTCTTCTTGTATAGAACGATTTAGCGTTTTAATTTTCTACGTAATCTTTGAAGAATTGTACAACCATTATTTATTACAAATTGTGTATTGATTTGCAATTTATTTATTTACAATTATTATGTATTCCTGCATCATGCATTATCTCTATCATCATCATTTGCTAGAAGATGTAATGGAGGAAGCTTTACATTTTCATTTTCATCCTCATCAGATTTGAATAGTTCCAAAATCGTATTACTGTCCCGCTAAATCGGCCATCTTGTACTTTCTTGAGCTTTCTGGCGTTCGGGATATGTCGACGAAAGTGTACCTACCCTTCTGCACCTTTCAAGAAAACTGTACTACCCTCGACACCCTCGAGGGTAGAAAGTGCATCATTTGCTAGAAGATGTAATGGGGGAAGCTTTACATCTTCATTTTCATCATCATCCGATCCAAATAGCTCCAAAATCGCATACTGTCCCGCTAAATCGGCCATCTTGAACTTTCTTGAGCTTTCTGGCGTTCGGGATATGTCGACGAAAGTGTACCTACCCTTCTGCACCTTTCAAGAAAAGTGTACTACTCTCGTCACCCTCGAGGGTAGAAAGTGCATCATTTGCTAGAAGATGTAATGGGGGAAGCTTTACATCTTCATTTTCATCATCATCCGATCCAAATAGCTCCAAAATCGCATACTGTCCCGCTAAACCGGCCATTTTGTATTTTCTTGAGCTTTCTGGCGTTCGAGATATGTCGACGAAAGTGTACCTACCCTTCTGCACCTTTCAAGAAAAGTGTACCACTTTCGTAACCCTCGAGGGTAGAAAGTGCAGAAAGTCCATCATCATTTGCTAGAAGATGTAATGAGGGAAGCTTTACATCTTCATTTTCATCCTCACCCGATTCGAACACCTCCAACATTGCACACTGTCCCGTTAAATCGCCATCTTGTACTTTTTTGAGCTTTCTGGCGTTCGGGGCGTCGACGAAAGTGTACACTGGGAGACATCAATGCCCTCCCATCCTGCACAGGCGATGTCGTACCTGGAGGGGAGGCATTCATGTCCACATTGTACACTGGGAGACATCAATGCCCTCCCATCCTGCACAGGCGATGCCGTACGTGCAGGGGAGGCATTCATGTCCGCCATTGTACATACCCTTCTGCACCTTTGAAGAAAAGTGTAGTACCCTCGTTACCCTCGAGGGTAGAAAGTGCAGAAAGTGCATCATCATTTGCTAGAAGATGTAATGGGGGAACCATTACATCTTCATTTTCATCATAATCCACTTCGAATGGCTCCAAAATCCCATACTATCTCGCTAAATCGGCCATCTTGTACTTTCTTAAGCTTTCTGGCGTTCGGGACGTCGACGAAAGTGTACTTACCCTTCTGCACTTTTCAAGAAAAGTACAGTACCCTCGTTACCCTCCAGTGTAGAAAGTGCAGACAACGCGAACAAACCTGGTATCAGCTATCCAGTTGGTATATAGATCAGGGATAAAAACGCGAATGATCACGGAAGCGTATGATTCAGATGTGCGGGATAGTCGTCAACCTGGAGCCTTGGAGCCGTCCCGAGGAACGCGCGTCGGCGTTGCCTCTCGAGCGGCTATTTCCACGGCAGATCGCGACAAGATCGAGGGAGGACTCGATGAAGACGTCCTCATAGAGATGGGGGGAAACCGAGGCTCCTCAGGGCGCCTCGACTCCTCGGGGAACCGGCGGCGACGCCCTGGAGGGGGGCAACTCGATTGACCTTGGATGCGCTTTTCTTTTGTAGCAGGAGCTTAGCAGCGTCGAGGTCGACCTAGGTGCAGGCACGCCCCGGGGACCTCCTCGAGGACCTCCTCGAGGTCTGCCCCTCGACTTTAGTTATCGGCGTACACCTAGAAGCGCGGCTCTCGACACTTTCTGCAGACTTTCCGGGACTCGTCCCGATTTCCCCCGGGACACCAGCACGCGGCTCGGACGACTCCGGCGACGTCCGGCGAGGGACGTCGTCTCCGACGCCCTCCGCCTCCCGGGGGCTCCGTCGCTCCCCAGGGGCGGAGGGCGGCGCTCCTTATTGCGATTAGATTAGTCATTCGATGTACTTGCTTTGTGTCCAATAAAAAGGAGACGTATTTTGGATGTGCCCTCGTTGCATTCACGCGGTTCTACCTTGATGAGCGACGTGGCCGGAGGTCGTTTCACCTCGGGATGATTTAGGTCGCGGAGTACGAAGGCTCTCGGTGAAGTTCAATTGCAGATCGGTAGGGAATCCATTGTCGCGGGGATCTTTGCGAGATTCTGTAGGGGACTCGTAGTCGAGACTTATTGTGAATGTTTCGTTTATACGTCTCGTGGACTTAAGGCGAAGTGAAACACGTCGAGGAACTTGATCGACGTCGGTAAAGAAGATTTTTCTAAATACCTCCGTTGCCGACTTTCGTTTTTATATTGACAGCTGTGTCGAATTATATTGGGTATTGTACTAAATGGCATACTACGTATTTCGTTTCCGTATAATAATTATAAATAAATCGAGGGATTTTAACCGGTTAAAACCATCTTATGAAATACATCAGGATGTATGTAGTGTAGAATTTATTCTAATGTTGTATGCATCCTGTAATTACACATGCGTTCCACTCACATCCATGCAAGTTAACACTTTGAACAGGGAGCCATTTCGACATATGGGCGAAATTCGTCTGACCGTGCAGGCAATATTGGATCAAACTTTAGGCGCTCTTAGTAGCGAAAGGGTTAGAATAAATTCCAACCTATCTAAATAGCATTCAAACATATTTTCGTTCCTACGCATATTCGGGATAAAACAATGGAAAGAACGTGGGTTAAATATGATTTAAACGAGGTTTGAACCACTGTTTTTTAGGCAACAAAGTAACCCAGCAAATATGGTGTAAACCGGTTAAAATCATTGGGTTGGGCTTTTTGTAAAAAAAAAAAACGAATATTTATGCCAAGTCTGAGAGATCCTCCCGAATTTTTTAATCGAGCTCCATTGAAATTGCCCCTCTCAAGTGAACAATTTTATATATTCATAATTTTTCGTTTAAATAAACTGCTTTGTTCACCGGACTGGAGATGATTGAACCCCTTTGTTCAGACTCGCGACTATTTTTAGGACGAACTCTCGACTATTTTTGGGACGAACTATAGACTATTTTTAGGACGAACTTTCTACTATTTTTAGGACAAACTCTCAACTATTTTTATGACGAACTTTCGACAATTTTTAGGACGCATTCTCGACAATTTATAGGACAAACTCTCGACTATTTTTAGGACGAACTCTCGACTATTTTCGGGAGAAACTCGACTATTTTCAGGACGAACTCTCGACTATTTTCGGGAGGAACTCTCGACTATTTTCAGAACGAACTCTCGACTATTGTCGGGAGGAACTCTCGACTATTTTTAGAACAAACTCTCGACTATTTTCGGGAGGAACTCTCGACTATTTTCAGGACGAACTCTCGACTATTTTCGGGAGGAACTCTCGACTATTTTTAGGATGAACTCTCGACTATTGTCGGGAGGAACTCTCGACTATTTTTAGAACAAACTCTCGATTATTTTAGGACGAACTCTCGACATCGTCGCACTGCATAGAGACGAGGAGACAAATGGCCGGAAAGTTTCATATCTAGCTGATAGGCGTTATCGCGTTGGCATTAGTGATTAGATACACATGATCGACCTCAATGCAACCATTTCATTACGCGCGTTAACGAGGTCTTACCGGAGCCTGCAGAAAGTCGAGGGTCGCCTCTTCGATAGAGGAGGATTAGAGCTTAAGAGTCGAATTTATTTATAGAGACTAGTCCATTAAGGTGAAGTGAAACCCGTCGAGAAGTTTGCTCGACGTTGGTAAAAAGGATCCTTCTAAATACTTACGTTACCGACGTTCGTACATGTATTGACAGCATTTTCTAATTATATTGGGCATTGTCCTAAATGGCACTCTATATGTCGTTTCCGTCCAATAATTACAAACAAATCGAAGTAAAACTTCAGAAATCCCCCGGATTCATGGTTTTTGACGCCCTAGTTGACTGCAGAGGGACCCCCTGCGCCATCTGTGATTTCCGTGTCAACTAAATTTTCACTCCGAGACCTCATATTACCATCGTTTTAGCACAGCACCGCATAAGACACTTGTTTGCCTATATCTGGTTCAAATGCGAGTGTCTCGATTACCAGAGTGTCGTAAAAAGTCGTACAATTGTCCTGACCCTTCCCTTTCTCATATCAGAGCCTTCAATAATTGAATATATCGATCGAAACATGAGAGCTCGACGCCATTTTGGTTCTAGTCCGGGCTAAGTTAACAATTTTCCTTTTTGTCTAAAATCCAAATTTTCAAAGTGTCAGGATAATTCCCAAGAAATTGAATTTTTCTCTCAGGGTGTAGCCTAGCCATAGCCGAATCAGTGGTCGTGACACGTGTGCTTTTCCAGGTCGTCGAAGCGGCTGAAGATGGAGGCCGGGTACAACTCTCACGGGAGCAGGATGCCAGGAGAGCCGGGCCACTTCGGGCCGGAGAACCTCTTCCAGCAAGGAGGCCCCTTCGCGGTGTCGCCCTCTCCGTACTACTTCAACAGCCCCCCAGCCGTGAAGCCGCGGGTACCGCCGTCGACGGGCCACCAGGACGCCGGTCCCGGGGTCTGCGGGACCAGCGACGACAGCCTGGCCCGGAGACTGACTCTGCTGACGAATGCCCTGAGCCAGGGCAAGCCCGTCCGCGTGGACGACCTCATGTCGCTGCGCTCGGACAACGAGGTAGCCGAGAACGGCCGGACGTTTGCGCGGCCCTCGGCCCGACCCGAGAGGCGACCGTAGTCGAGTCCGAGTCGCGCTTCCAGGGGAACGAAGTGCCCAACGACACCCTACATCGGTGGAGTCAGAGATGAGCGGGGAGATGTTTCACGCTATGGTCGAAAAGGAGGCTCGGTTCCCTTGCGTCATGGACCTGCTTTCAAAGGGGCGAATGTTCTCTATCAGTAAAGAAGAACGCGTATGCAGATTTTTTCAAAACAGATAGGATGGAGTTATCGCCTTTTGGTTTTCGGTATCAGGGTTTGTGTAGGTTGGGAAAGAAGACTATAAATATCAAATAAAGTTCTTATGTGTAGGTGGTGGAGGTTACGGGGCGGCACGCACGCATACCCTGTTTTACCGATTTCCTTTGAAAGTAGTTCCAATTTTTACACGGGGGTGAAGAGCGTAGAGGGTGCTATGGGCCGCGCCTTCCTTTCAAACGATGGCAGGAAACATCTCCCCGTTCATCTATGATCAACATAGAGGAAGCAATAATCACTATTAATAGAGATGTATATTCACTATTAATAGAGAATTAATTGAGATGCGCAGGGAGATGTTTCACGCTATGGTCGAAAAGGAGGCACGGTTCCCTTGCGTCATGGACCTGCTTTCAAAGGGGCGAATGTTCTCTATCGGCAAAGAAGAACGCGTATGCAGATTTTAAATACGGCACAGGATAAATAGAATGAAGTTATCGCCTTTTGGTTTTCGGTATCAGGGTTTGTGTAGGTTGGGAAAAAAGACTACGAATACCAAATCAAGTTTTTATGCGTGGGTGGAGGAGGTTACGACGCGGCTCGCATGTATACCCTGTTTAACCGATCGCGAAGATTTCGCCCCTTTGAAAGTAGTTCCAATTTTTACACAGGGGTGAAGAGCGTAGAGGGTGCTATGGGCCGCGCCTTCCTTTCAAACGATGGCGGGAAACATCTCCCCGTTAATGTATGATCAACATAGAGGAAGCAATAATCACTATTAATAGAGATGTATATTCACTATTAATAGAGAATTAATTGAGATGCGCAGGGAGATGTTTCACGCTATGGTCGAAAAGGAGGCACGGTTCCCTTGCGTCATGGACCTGCTTTCAAAGGGGCGAATGTTCTCTATCGGCAAAGAGGAACGCGTATGCAGATTTTAAATACGGCACAGAACAGATAGGATGAACTTAGCGCATATTCGTTTTCGGTATCCGGGTCTATGTAGATTAGGAAAGAAGACTACGAATATTAAATAAAGTTCTTATGCGTGGGTGGTGGACATTACAGCGCGGCATACCCTGTTTAACCGATCGCGAAGATATCGCCCCTTTGAAAGTAGTTCCAATTTTTACACAGGGGTGAAGAGCGTAGAGGGCGCCATGGGCCGCGCCTTCCTTTCAAACGATGGCGGGAAACATCTCCCCGTTCATTTATGATTAACATAGAGAATCGCTATCAACAGAGATGAGCGGGAAGATGTTACCCACTTTATATCACCATCTCCTGCATTTGTCCTCTCATCTCACTATTCGTAGGTGTTTCCATTGTGCTAGTAACGAAATGGTACCCATTCTATCTCCGTACTCCCCTGTCTGTAATAATGTAAACGGGGCTTAACCGTTTGAGTGGCAAGAGTATTAAAGAAATCTTGTCGAAAAGTACCAATCGGCGCGGTCGCGCTTCTCTAATTCCAGTTTGAAAAATGGCAAACGGCGCGATTGCCCTATTTTTTCTGTTTATAACCTCGTTAAACGGTAAGGCCCGTCGCACATACCTCGCTTTACCCCTTTTCGGGCGGAAAGCTTTGAATGTCCCTACCTATGTACAGTGGATACATCCCTCCCTCAATTTACGCGGTACATTGTAACACAATTTACGCAGCCTTGAAACCTCATTACTCTTTTTCATTAAGCTAGTTGAAATAAATATGTATTTCGGAAATTTATCTGTCCTAGCTTTCATTTCCAATATTGTTTTTCTTCTCTACTGACAGACTTCATTTCCGCGATTTTCATTTCTGCAAAACGAATCCACGTGGAACGGATACTTCGCGTAAATTGAGGGACGCCTGTACCTTTTGGCGCCGGACATCTACTTGTTTTTACTATTACTCGTTAGGAACAACAGAAGTGCAAATAAATATTTAATAAACTACCACTAGAATAAAATCAATGCCGCTCCTAGCCCTTTCGATACTGCCGTGCGATTCGCCAGTACACTTCCGTTAGTATACTTCCGCTGTACGGATATTCTCCGATGCTTTTGTATAAAAAAAGGAAAAACGATTCTTGTACAACGCTGTATAACAGAATGCGAGAATTTCCCGTTTACTTTAGTCAAGCATAACTTGTCTCCATCGTTATTGGTTCCTTCTGTTGCGTAATTGTTTTGTTTGCACGAAAACAAATTGCATTTAACGGTTGTCATCCCAAACGTATTATCATGAAGTAGGATAAGGAGACATATCGCCTATCGTCGGTTCCTCAGAAAGTGGCCTCAGCATTGGGACCTAGGAGCTCAGATTTTCGCCGATGTAACGATGCTAGCGCCCCTTGCGGAAAACGAGGGAACTTCAATCCTACGTGACTAAAATGTTTCCTATCGACATAAATGACCTAAAACGCGTTTAATCTTGCAATTAAGGTACGCAAAGCGAAACGATAATCCGCGTAATATGTTCAGAATGTGATGTTTTTAACATGATAAAGACTAGGGGATACTTTAGCATACGATAATTTTGAATTGCAACATTTTATCGAAGGCGCTGTCGGCACTAGATCGAAAAAAATTTGATGATCTTGGACCGCTAAATTGGGGACGATTTTAGTACGTGGCATTGAATCTCCTTATACCACTTCATGGTCATCATTAAGTAGTATAAGAAGACTAAACGCCTATGATGGATTCCACAGAAAGTCATTTTCGCTAATCTAACGATGCGAGCGCTACTTGCGGAAAATGAGGGAATTCCGATCTTACGTGACCAACATGTGTCCTATCGACATAAATGACCTAAAACGCGTTTAATCTTGCAATTAAGGTACGCGAAGCGAAACGATAATCCGCGTAATATATTCAGAATGTGATGTTTTTAACATGATAAAGACTAGGGGATACTTTAGCATACGATAATTTTGAATTGCAACATTTTATCGAAGGCGCTGTCGGCACTAGATCGAAAAAAATGTGATGATCTTGGACCCCTAAAGTGGGAACGATTTTAATTCGTGGCGTTATATCTCCTTATATTACTTCCTGCATATTATTTACATTATTCGAGGAAAATTCTCGTATAACACAATTTCATTCAACGCGTAATATATTAAACGTGTTATATGGGAGTCTACTGTACAGCGCTGCAATAGAAGGACCAGGTATAAGAGAAGTTCACTACAGTTAAAAAGTAAAAAGAAAAACAAAGTAAAACAGTTAGATGTAAATTATGAACCAATGTAAAATTTCAGTTAAAAAAATGATAACGGGTGATAATAATATATAGTAAATATGGCGAGCGTGCGACGAAGGGTGGTTATAGTCACTCCTGATATCGAAAGGGCTAAAGGACGTATATATGTATTTGTGATCCCCAGCGAAAGGGTTAAGGTGATATGAAAGGGTCAGCCTATATATTATATATTATATAACATCTCCCCGTTAATGTATGATCAACATAGAGGAAGCAATAATCACTATTAATAGAGATGTATATTCACTATTAATAGAGAATTAATAGAGATGCGCAGGGAGATGTTTCACGCCATGGTCGAAAAGGAGGCACGGTTCCCTTGCGTCATGGACCTGCTTTCAAAGGGGCGAATGTTCTCTATCGGCAAAGAGGAACGCGTATGCAGATTTTAAATACGGCACAGAACAANTTATATATTATATATACTTGAGAGGTCAAATTATTTGTGAAAGTATTCTCAGAATTGTGTGTACCGATAGGCGACGCTTGTTACCACTTGAGTATCCAAAATGGCGTTACCCACCAAAACGGACATAGATGAATATTATTGGATTGATGTCAATTAAATTTCTCAGCGCCTTTCATATCACCTTAAAGATAACTATTTGACTGGCCAGCCTTTACTGCTGTGCTTACTGTTACTGCTATGCGAGGTATGTGTGGAAGCCTTAATGATAATGACGCGGATCGGCAAAATCTGAGCCTGCAGTCAGTTCAACAATGTGAATTGATAAGGTGGCATTTATAGAGACTGGAAAGGAGAAAAGCGATTGCGTCGTCTGGCACTCAAACATTTATAGGTAGATTCATTGCATTCGGTGTGTATCAGTTCAGATACGCGTCGGATCGATCGAATCAACTTTTGCAACATTTTTTCGAGTCGGCACCGACATGCGTTGGAACTGATACGTGTTGGACAGACCGTATCCACTTTTGCAACGTTTTTTCAGATCGGCACCGGAGTGCGTCGAAATCGATACGTGTTGGACAGACCGAATTAACTTTTGCGACGTTTTTTCGGGTCGACACCGGTACGCATTGGAACTGATATGTGTCAGACCGTATCAATTTTTGCAACGTTTTGTCGGATCGGCACTGATACGCGTTGGACAGACCGAATCAACTTTTGCAACGTTTTGGCGGATTGACACAGGTACGCGTCGGAATCGATACGTGTCGGACCGACCTAAGTAACCTTTGCAACGTTTTGTCAGATCGGCACCGACATGCGTTGGAACTGATACGTGTCGGACCGTATCAACTTTTGCAACGTTTTGTCGGGTCGACACCGGTACGCATTGGAACTGATATGTGTCAGACCGTATCAATTTTTGCAACGTTTTGTCGGAGCGGCACTGATACGCGTTGGACAGACCAAATGAACTTTTGCAACGTTTTAGCGGATTTGCACCGATACGTGTCGGATAGATTGGATCAACTTTTGCAACGTTTTGTCGGATGGGCACTGGTGCGCGTCGGAACCAGTACGTGTAGGACCGACGCATTACGTTGTGCAACATTTTGTCGGATGGGTACCGGTGCGTGTCGAAATCGATACGTGTCGGACCGACCGCATTACCTTTTGCAACGTTTTGTCGGATGGGCACTGGTGCGCGTCGGGACCAATACGTGTCGGATAGAACGAATCAACATTTGCAACATTTAGTCGGATGGGCACCGGTGCGTGTCGAAACCAATACGTGTCGGACCAACCGCATTACCTTTTGCAACGTTTTGTCGGATGAGCACTGGTGCGCGTCGGAACCAGTACGTGTAGGACCGACGCATTACCTTGTGCAACATTTTGTCGGATGGGTACCGGTGCGTGTCGAAATCGATACGTGTTGGACCGACCGCATTACCTTTTGCAACGTTTTGTCGGATGGGCACCGGTGCGCGTCGGGACCAATACGTGTCGGATAGACCGAATCAACATTTGCAACATTTAGTCTGATCGGTACCGACACGTATCGGAGCCAATACGTGTTGGACCGACCACATTACCTTTTTGCAACGTTTTGTCGGATGGGCACCGGTGCGCGTCGGGACCAATACGTGTCGGATGGACCAAATCAACATTTGCAACATTTAGTCGGATCGCCACCGACACGTGTCGGAGCAAATACGTGCCGGGCAGTCCGAGTCGCCCTCACCTCGTCCGCTTCCGTCCCGACAGAGCGACCCGAAGGTGGTTCAGCTACTGGGCGAGCTGCACACGGAGCTTCGCCTGGCCGCCGGGAACGGGCGGCCTAGCGGCCAGCTGGAGTCGCACCTGCCGGTCTTCAACCCTCCGCCACCCTCGACGTCGGCCGGCCCGGGAGGAGGAGCCGCGGCGCCGGCCACCGCACCGGCCCCGGGTAAGTCCCGCTCGACGAGGCCCATTCTGCCCTAGGTCGTCCCGGGCCCAGAAACGAGCGGACCGCCGCCAGTCAGGGCCCCACGATGCAGAAAGGTGCTCGAGACACGGACTTTAAATCGGAAGAAATTAAAAAACAAATTGTTGCATTAAGGGGATGTGAAAGTGGCGTCAAAGGAATCTCATTTATGAAGCTTTCCTCCGAACTTGAGTGTACCGAATAGTTTCAAACTCGACAATGTGAGTACGGAGACTATAAGGAAGGTCCTGACACCCATGAAATTTCAATTTTTTTTTTAATTTGTTTATTGATATTTTTCAAGTTTTTTATACTAAATGAAATTTCTTCAATCTCATTTATGACGCTTTTCTCCAAACTGAGCGTACCGAATAGTTTCAAACTCGACAATGTGAGTACGGAGACTATAAGGAAGGTTCTGACACCCATGAAACTTCAATTGTTTTTAAATTTGCTTATTGATATTTTTCAAGTTTTTTATACAAAATGAAATTTCTTGAGTGTCAGCACCTTCCTTATAGCCTCCATGTTCACGTTGTAAAGTTTAAAAGGATTCGGTACATCCACCTCGCAGAAAAGTTTCATGAACAATTGAGCTTTCGGATGCCACTTTCACATCCCCTTAACCCTTTGAGTGCCACAGGTCTTTGCTGTTTCCGAATCCAAAATTGTCAAGCGACACGATAGTGCTGGCCTAGAGTGCCGGCATTTTTGGACATAGGATAGAAGAAACGCGATCGCGCCACATGGCACCCAAACGATTAAGGTGATGTCAAAGTGCCGTGGAGAAGTCTCGTTTATGAAACTTTTCTACGAACTGGGTGAACCGAATCGTTTCAAACATTACAACGTGAACGTGGAAGCTATAAGGAAGGTCCTGACACACATGGAATTTCATTTTTTACAAACAATTTCGCAAATGTCTATAAACAAATTATTAAAAAATTCAAAATTTATGGGTGCCAGGACCTTCTTTATAAACTCCATATTTACATTGTCAAGTTTGAAACGATTCGGTACACTCGGTTCGGAGAAAAGTATCATAAACGAGAAACCTCTTTGACGCCACTTTCGCATCGCCTTAAGGGCCCAGAGGGCGCCGTCCTCGGTTCCGGGGCCGTGCTGACGACGCGTCGGCAGAGATACTCAGAAAAAGCTAGGCGGCCTCTCGGAGGTATCCCGTGATTGCAGGAGGCCAGGACTCGACGTGGCCGACGGTGGAGGGCAGCTTCGACGCCCATGCCGAGTACGCCGGCGACGACGCGGTTCCCGTGGGAAGGTGCTCTCACCTGGCGACCGCGGGGGTCCGTAACGCCCTCTCCGCCCTCATGTTGCGATACGGACTGGATACCTACGACCCCTCCCCTGCTATCACCCGACCCCCAGGTAAACACCCCCTGGACCCGAAGGCCCTTTTCCCGACCTCGGCTTTCGGTTCTTAATCCCGATCGACCGCCATCTCGACTTTGACTGTCCCTTAGGTCACGTACTCGGTACTCTCGCATTATTTGTATGTTGTCTGTTTGGATTTTGGTCCTTCTTTACTAAGGGCCAAGGTACCATTGTTTTTTCGCCAACGCTGCGCGATGCCCTTCCTTGGTGGTCCCATCCAAGGAGTGACCGCGCCCGACGTCGCTTAACTTCGGTGATCTTACATGAACTAAAACAAAATCAGTGATGTGACGAGTCGAATACTTTACCAACTCGAGTTACTTGGATTCGAAAGCGTTGCCAACTCGAGTTTGGATTCGAGTCTGCGTCTCAATGCCGCATATATTCGGCGCGATGAGTCGAGTCAATAACAAGTTCGTGAGTCAATCGACTCGATTAACGGCGACCCGAATCGAGGCGATGTAACGAGTCGAGTACTTCATCGAATTGAGTTACTCGAACATTGCCAAGTGGAGTCAACGCCGAATATATTCGGCGCGATGAGTCGAGTCAATAACAAGTTGCTGAGTAAATCGACGCGATTAACGGCGATGCGAATCAAAGCGATGTAACAAGTCGAGTACTTAATCGACTCGAGTTACTCAAACATTTCCCACTCGAAGCCGGATATATTCGGCGCGATGAGTCGAGTCAATTGCGAATTGGAAAGTAAAAAGACTCGATTAGCGACGACTCGAGTCGAAGCGATATAACGAATCGAGTAGTTCATCGACTCGAGTTACTCGAATATTACCTACTCAAGTCGACGTCTCAAAGCCGCATATATTCGGCGCGATGTGTTGAGTCAATGACAAATGGGAGAGTAAAACGACTCGATTAGCGACGACTCGAGTCGAAACGATATAACGAATCGAGTAGTTCATCGACTCGAATTACTCGAACGTTGCCAACTCGAATCAACGACGCAATACCGCATATATTTGGCGCGAGGAGTTGAATCAATTGCGAATTGGAAAGTAAAAAGACTCGATTAGCGGCGACTCGAGTCAAAGCGATATAACGAGTCGAGTACTTCATCGACTCGAGTTACTCGAACATTTTCTAACTCGAGTCAACATCTCAACCCCGCATATATTCGGCGCGATGGGTCGAATCAATTGCAAATTGGAAAGTAAAAAGACTCGATTAGCGACGACTCGAGTCAAAGCGATATAACGAGACAAGTACTTCATCGACTCGAGTTACTCGAATATTACCAACTTATGTCGACGTCTCAAAGCCGCATATATTCGGCGCGATGTGTCGAGTCAATGGCGAGTTAGAGAGTAAAACGATTCGAATGACGATTACTCGAATAAATAAATAAGGCGCGATTGGTGTGTCAGTGCGAGTAACTCGGTCTCACTTTTACTCTCGTAACTCGTTCTCACCCTTACCCTAGTAACTCGAATTCGTTTGTACCATAAACTCTAGTTACAATAAGAATTACTCGAGTTGACTAGAATACATGTTTGACTCGAGTTTAACGAGTTAAAATATTCGACTCGTCACGTCATTACGCGGAATGCCTTTTAGACAGCTTATTCCGCGTTGATTCCGCGTGCTTTCCGCATGTATGAAAACGAGGCATCCTTCCGGGAGGTTCAACGCGTGAGATGTCTCTTTAAACCGTGACTTTGAATTTATCGGTTGCATTATTTTGTTTCTATAACGATGCTCCGAGATGCCTATCCGATATGAAACGTTAAGACCGCTGGGGAAGACTGTGATCACTCGATAAATATGTGTAATATAGCTCTTTCAAGTATATCAACACATCATGGCAAAGGTGGAGAGACGTTGAAGAATTTATCTCAATGTTTCCCATCAAAAGCAGGCACTTTAAAGTACTATTTCGCGTTGTTTCGTTTCAAATGCCCAACGTGAGGACGCGCAAGTGTATCAGTATGAGTGTGTAATTACAATGTACGCCACTGTGGGGGGAATAATTCAAGTACGATGATATTAATACTAGAACTACCGGTGGATTTTTTGGACTGTGGTGGGCCATTTAACCCTTTAATTACGAAACGCCACTATACACTGATAAAAATGCCCATGTAAATGTACATACTCAATCATTGGTTCTTTTGATGCCAGGATAAATTGCAGAAAAATTACATTGTTCTTGTAATATCACATTCGGCATCTGTGTTACATTATAAAATATTATAATGTACATTGCATTAAACTCAAGTAAAAATGCACGAATACGATAAATATACCTTCGGTGTATTTATACATTTTCTAATTTGCAATTCTTCCATTTTATGTTTTTCTATGTGAAACTTAAGTTATGAAGTGTGTAAAAATGTATGCAAATTTCCAGCGATTTTTATCAGTGTAGTGGCTTCCGCATGATCGAATTTTTTTATGAACTGTCACTATAGTGGCCCCTTTTATTCCTATGCACTTATCTATATACTAACTGAATAGTTGATACCTATTTATTCCATACGGAGAGGACTTTGACGAATTAAAGGCACCCCAGCGCTCCTACACGTGGGCAGCGATACTAAATAAATAACAGGTGCGCCTGCGCAAAAGTTTTGAACCGTCAACCACGGCAATAACAATCCTTAAACCGTGAATTCGCGAAGGTAAATGTTTAAAGTGTAGAATTCAGAAGATACATAATTTACGTGTAAAATGATTCGTTGAGAATATCGTGAGAAAGCTTCGACTAAAACAAAACGGTTATCCTTTTTCTCGTAAGTATTCGAATATAAATGGCAATTATTTCCTTCCAGTAAATTAATTTGACCCCTCTTACAATATCTACAGTAGAATGGCGCGTTGTTTTGACGCATGCGCAAGTACTACGATATTAGTTGACGTGCCGCTAACCAGAGGCCTCTGTGATTGCTTCAAAACGTTCCACCATTTTGTAGGATATCAGCTATCCAGTTAGTATATAGATAAGTGTTTCCATGTATTGAAAGCGACAAATGAATATCGTATTCATATAAAATATTAACCCTCTGCGGCAGAGTTATTCGTACAGGTGGTACATTTTCAAGTCTGACCCCGGTGTAATTAAAAGGTTAAAACCAATCATTTTGACCGGACTTGGTAGTTCTAGTGTTAAGCGGACGTCGCGTTAGTGCACTATTGTTTCGACCAGCTTCGCCATTTGAGCCGCTTAGTGCACATATCGACTAACTCCACTTTTTGAAAAATCTTAAATTTAGGTGGGAAAGCACTTGGTATAGTCATAACTTTTTATATTTATAATATCTTTCCTGATTAATAGAGATTAACACCATTAAACGGCAACATTAATTTATTTCAGAAGCCATTTTGATTAACTCCATACTCTAATGTAAATCGTGGACGAATACCTGGCAGTATGGTATTATTGGATTATCTGTTGCGGCCGTACATCGACGCTTTTTTTTTTAAACAGCCGAAGATGCTTTCCCCCTTTCAACAATATGAGTAATAAAATCGCATCAGCAAACAGATAGAAAGAAGCGCAATGCAGACGGTAGTTAGTATAACGGTGATCTCTCACGCTGAATGTTACGGTATACTTCACCAATATTACACGGACTACATATTTTTTGGTCTTTTCAACCTTACTCCCTGATTGTTTTTAAAGAACTAAATATTATACCGTTACAATCAAGATGAATGAAACTAATAACAATGTGGATGTGGAAAGCAGTGACGATTCTTCAATACGATTTATCAGCAGAAAGTCTGGGGCAAGAAGACGTTTATCGTGTTTCTCGGATTCATCCGATTGCAACGGTACAAATTCCCCAACAAACACATCGATTGGGAGGAAAAGAAGTCGTAATCCTGATAAATGGGCACGAAATTTACAAAAGCATAACGGAACAAAATCTTTGGCATACAGGAATAGGGGAGGAAATTTAATACCTGCAAAAACATTTGTCGATATAAAATGCAGACGATTATTTTTTGGCTATTCTTTCTTATTAATTTTATATACCGTTAGATGAAAACTATAACTGTATTTATGTATTCTACATTATATATTTGAAGTTATATTATAATAGGAATTTTAAAAAAGAATCTACATTACTTCATCGCATTTCTCAACTTTTTGTTTTATGGAGTTAATCAATGTGTGTACTGAGCGGCTCATTTATCGGTTACCTTGATAGGAAGGATTCGTCCCCGAAACTCGGTCGATATCTAAGTTTTCTTCCGACACTACTTGGGCATAATCGTAACCAAATTGTTCCCTGGTTATATATCGATGCCGCCGAAAAGATCGCGGTAATTTTTTTGTTTATTAGGTGGTCCAACGAAACCTCCCTTCCGATGAGAAGTGTTTTCCTTTTCATCGCTAATTTTTGGTTTACGTTAAAACTCGTTATTTCGTCCCTCTGTGATCTCTCTGTCTCTCTCTCTCTCCCTCTTTTAAGGACTCATAGGCCCTTTGGATTCATCTTCAAGATAATTATTTATTGTGTAAGATTTTTACATAAGGCCCTAGCGTTTACCCTCTGTGAAAGTATTTACAGGATAAACTATGAATAATGTGTAAATAATTAAGGGTAAATAAAGGAGCTGACCTCAAATGTTTGAGTAGTTCCCAAGTCAGGATAAGCACTCAGGCTCTAAATGAGTTCACGACTCGCATGGCCGGAAATTTCCATCGATTAATACGGTGATCCAACTCAAATTACCTGGCACGTACAAATCTCAACAAGCTTAGCCATTGGCCGTTAAAATCCTCGGTAGTATAATGGTCAGTATCGCTGAAGAGCAGGGTTGGGTAAGTAAAATACCCTAGGTAATTTACGTAGTTCTTCACAGTAAATTACTGGGTATTTTACTTCACAAACTCCATACGTGATGTAAATTACACTAATATGGGACTTTATGTTTCCGCAGTTCCTCTTCCCGATACACTTAAAATTCAAACGTCGAAGCGTAGATCCTTTTTAACGGTTTGCTCCTACTTACCATCATTCTTTATTCCCACCCTTTTTTGTTTACTAAAATGTTTATTCCCTAGTGATGTATACTTGACTACTTTGAAAAAGTGAGGTTACAGTCCCGCCATCTTTGTCGTGGAATTTATTAGGTATTATTATGTAAAATACTTCCCTTGAGTATTTTACGTAAAAAAGTTCTAACGACGCGTCACTGCACAACCTTGGCCAAGGTTCCTGGTTCGATCCAACGTTTTCACTTATTTGGGACAAACGTGTAAACGCATTAAAAACTATCTTTAGTATAATCGAGCACACGATCGAAATTTAACAAATGTTTGGTTACGTATCCAGGACTGACCAAACATGCGCGTAGAGTTCTAAACGCGGTAAGTTCCGTCAGGAACGATGAGAAATTCCTGGTAACTTAACGGTCATTTCTACAAAGCTTTTCTTTTTTCGAGAAATTATGAGAATTTAAATATTTACAACGGAGTGAACGAGCGGTTCCGATTAGTTGCAGAGAAACACGGGGGGGATTTCCGTTGTACGTTTTTTACGGCCAATCAAAACCTTTTATTTGTTTTATCGAACTACGCCGTCGAATTAATGAAATATCGGCCCTGTTCAAAGTCAAATCACGTGAAATTTCCGTGGAGTTATACGTAAATATTATAGCTCGAAGTAAATAACACTCTCTGATTAATATTCTTTAACAATATTTATTACTCTTTAGCTTGAACTTCGAAGTGCATTGAAAAGAAATGTTACGTAAATGAAGGAACCTCAAGTGTGTAAATAAAAAGAAAGTGAATGTTCTCATAAATTCTCGATATTCTCGGTAACTTACGGTATGTTTCACGGTTATCTTCGATATTTATTACCGAGAATTTTCGAACTCTGCGCGCGTCGTTTCGCGCCGGAGAGTTTAAACGGCGACGAGGCTCCGCCGTTCCCGCGCCAGGTGGCGCGTCGAGTGTGCCAACCTCGGAAGGCGCGCGATTTGAATCGGGCTCGGTCGTTCGGTTTTGGCGGGACCGTGAATCGGCATACCCGGCGCGTGTTGACATTTTAGGTTAACTCTTGATCCGCGCGTGCTCGTGCCCATTATACACAACCGTTTGTTGTTTTAGATTGAAGAAACGGAGGTACGAGCAAGGGAGTGAGGTTAGGACGTGAACCGTCTATCGGCATCACGTTACGGGTCGAAGGGCGCGCGTAGGCCCGAGGAAGAGAGCCCCGACACTCCGTGGCGAGCTTAAAGTCGAATGACCGCAAACAAGAGCTGGAACTTTGAGGTACTTGAGAAGGAAAGCTCGAGGTGTGTCTCCGAGTCGCCACGGAAGAACGCCGACCCTGCGCCGGACCTAGACACCTGATAAATCCAGATTAATAACCTTCGCTCCGTTCAGTTTTGTTAGTTTGTCAATCGCGTGCACCTTCAGATGTATCCAATAAAATGCGTGAGCGTTCGGTAAAACGATCACCCACGATATAACAAGGCCGAACAAGGTTGGTTTGCGGTGTATGGGAGACCTAACCTCACCCTCGCCGGAGACGATGGAGTCACCACGCTGGAGCCGCGTCGACGTCGCCCTCGACGGGTCGGCTTCCAAGGCGACGGATCTCTTTGCGAGGACCCTTAGCGATGCCTTCGACCAGTACCGAGGTAAGTATCTCACCTGGGACTCTATTCTTAAGTTCATACGATGAACGTTAGCATGCGAAGTTAACATTAACATGACGTGACTTCGCAACAGTAAGAAATTTTTCATGCGAGTCTATTCGTATGCGATAATCATTCCTATGAACTCGAGGATCCCTTAGGTGAGGTCGATACCTTCGATCGGAGCAACGTTTTCTCGAAGACAGGTATATTAATTCGAAGACGTCTTGCGGAGCTTACGGTTTGATTAAAGTCTACGTTCAGCTCATGTTGCATTGTCTGTCGATTATAGAAATTGACGATGCAAGGAAGGTTGCGTCGTTAAATTTGTTTGAAATTTTATCCATCGTTTGATTATGTATGTTATTAAATATTGAGTTGAGTGGAAAGTTGGCGCGTTTGGTGAACCACCTCTGTGTCCTGCTGTGTACAAACTTTCCGATTAGTCTTATTATTGGGTTGCGATTGAGTAAAGATCAGATAATATTCTCCAGAAAATGGGCTTAACCTACAAAGGGTCATTGGGATCGGTTTGCGAAAGTATGATGTTTATGTCATGTTTTAAAAGAGCATTAACGTTCTAATATGAGGAAAATGGTGGAGGAGACTCGTTTAATGTTTGGATAGATTGTTATTTATTAAATTCAAGTGATTTTTTTTTTATTGCAGATGTTTGGAAAAGTTACTTAGCTTTGTTAAAGAGATATGAAGATCTACAAATGAAATTTTCAGTAGTGGAGTCTCAGCTGAATGAATTGACACGGTCAAAACACAAGTAAGCTCGTAAATACCCTATGGTCTTTGTATGTATTTTTCCTACCACGTACTTTTCAGATTCATGGGTGAGAACGATTTGAAAAAGAATGCCTGTCCAGCTTGTGCACACGTTCCGGTGGATTCTCTTGCGAGAATGGGTGGGAATATGAAAGAGGAAATAGCGTCAAAATCTGACAAATTTGACGATGTTATGACAGAGTTGAATTGTTCCAATATTCCGCAATGGCACAATCTGCCAATCGAGAAGGTGGGATCTCACATTCCGAGCAGTCCTATCCTTTGTAATCCGCTTAAAAGAAGAAAAAGTGGCCTGTCTGGTGAAACTAAGTCACTAGATGGCGATAACGAGAATGTACCAAAAGAAGAGCTTGATTCTTCCACTGCGGGCTCCTTTTCATCTGCAAGTAAATCTGCACAAGCATCGACTGTCTTGAAAGCCGTTGAAAACACTTTGTTATCTTTAAGAACAAAACGGTCACCTAAAGAGCAAAGCTGTAATACTTCTACCAAACTAAGCTTTAGCAAATACCATTGCATTAGTGATATGGTGCTCACAGGGAAAAAGAGACTAAAACAAAGTAAACTTATATTTCAACCCATGGAGCCAAAAACAGATCTCAGTCTTCCTGACGTTTCGCATAGAGATTCGTCCATGAAGGATAAGAATAAGTATGTTCACGAGATTACATTAGATGGTACCCAAGATATCTGTGATAAAACTAGTGCAAAGAAACAACCGGAAACCATGTTTTGCCCCGGGAGTGACAACGAAGCAACCTGTGATGACATTGTGGATGTAAGTTTAATCACTACGGCGCTACCCTCCAGAACAAAACATAAATTGATGTTGAAAACCAACGCGACGCGGAAGCGGATTGATAGCAATGATTCTGTATCGGATAAGAATTTATTTGATGATAATACTATTGGGACAAACTTTAAGCCTAATGCCGAATCGACACAATTGAAATCAGTATTCGCTACTAATTCCGTACGTCAGGAGAAACCGTTTCGACTATATTCTGATACCAGTAAAAAAAAGAAAAGTCGTTTAAACAACGACCCCTTCAAGATTTCAAACCTTGTATCGGAGGAAGTGCCAAGTAAATTTGACAATTGTACAGATACGAAGATGCCTTTTGATAAGGTGCTACAGGAATCAAATAACCGTGCTTCAGTGAGGAGGGATCTGAACGATAGTTTCAACATGTGAGTGGTCATTTGTATGCAATCTGTATCCGTTAGGTTGTAACAAATATTTAATTCTGTTTTCACTGGATGCAAAAGTTTCACATCATTTATACTTTTGCATTCGCTTTCGCTGTATGCAAAAGTTTCAGATAATTTGTACTCTTGCATTCGCTTTCGCTGTATGCAAAAGTTTTACATAATTTGTACTCTTGCATTTGCTTTCGCTGTATGCAAAAGTTTTACATCATTTCTACTTTTGCATTTGCTTTCGCTGTATACAAAAATCTGACATAATTTATACTTTTGCATTCGGAATAGGATTTTTCTTTCGCTTTCATTCTTGCTTCTGGTAAAGTTACTTCCGTTACAACCCTAGCATCCGTTAACATGAACACAAACTGTTACGTTTCTCTCTGTGTCATCTTGCGTTACAGTATGGGTATATATTTTCTTCTAGAATTCCTGAGAAAATCTCAAAGATTCCATACGCCCACAAAAGTAAGCCAGTTAGGAACAAAGCTGAGAGAGCGAAATTAGCCGGAAACTCTTGCTGGGAGTGTGAAAAGGTAAGCAGATTTTCTTTGCACAATAAATTGACTTCGCTTAATCTTAGATGTAAAGAAACTTCAATAAACTCTGTATACTTTCCTGCTGCTAAAAGGCCTGAATCGTAAGTAGACTTTTAAGGTATGTTAAAAATAACTTCCAGACAAGCCGTTGTACTTTGTATATTATGCATATACTTCTGGAGCCAAACGAATTTCACGTACTTTCGTTACATACGAATCATCTCCATGTTATTTATTTTGTTTTTAGTACTACAACGACATGGGGCTTGATCCAGATGAACTGCAAGCACGTAAAAATCAGTGTTCTCGCCACAGGGAGAAATTCCAGGAACGGTGCAACACTCCAACGGGTATTATACTTTTCACTTTTACAATCATATACTGAGCGAAATATTTACTTTTTAGGCGAAATCAATTGCTGGCGACGATCGAAATGTTTGTTAAGGTGAAGTGAAACCCCTCTCATATCAATCCGAATGAGACACTTTATTTTAAGAGTATTGAACGAACAGTCTGCAACTTTGATAAATGACTCGTGAACAATTAAGAATTGTCCTGACACTTTCAAAATTCAGGATTTTCTAAAGATAATTTGTTGACTTAGCATACACCAGAACCAAAATGACGTCGGCTCTCATATTTCTATCGATATCCAATTATTGAAGGCTCTAAAATTGAGAAACGAAAGTGTTGGGACAATTGTACGACAATTTGGAACACTCTGGTAATCGAGAAATTCGCATTTGAATGGGATAAAGTCAAAAAAAGTGTCTTATGCGCTGCTATGCTAAAACGATGGTAATACGAGGTCTCGGAGTGAAAATTTAGTTAACACGAAAATCACAGATGGCGCCGGGTGGCTTTGTACAGTCAATTAGGGCATAAAAAACCATGAATCCAGAGGATTTCTGGAGTTTTACCTCGATTTCTTTATAATTATTGTACGAAAACTACAGATAGGGTATGTCATTTACCACAATACTCAATATAATTCGACATAGCTGTCAATATAAAAACGAACGACGACAATGTAGGTATTTAGAAGAATACTTTTTACCGACGTCGATCAGGTATCTCGACGTGTTTATCTTCACCTTAAGAGGATATGAAAGGCGCTATGTAATTTAATCGACGTCGATAAAGTATAATTCATCTATACCATTTTTGGGGCCAATGCCGTTTCGAATACTCAAGTGGAATACATAAGCTGGCGCGTCCCATTACCGACATGTATATTCATGTTGGTCTTTTACAGTCTACGTTGAGAATTATACGAATTGAAGGGTTCTATATGTCATTTCGGTAAAGTAATGATAAAATGATGTATGTAAAACTGCCGAAATCCTATGAATTCATGACTGTTTATATTTTGAGGAACCAGCGCCGCCATCTGTGACGTTTAGCTGCAACTAAATGTTCGCTCTAAAAACACGTGTTAGCCGCAAGACAAGCAAGCATTCTCTTGCAATCGTTGGTGAAAGTATTTTCCTTATTTTCTCATCTGACTCTGTAATATTCCATTTCTACGGTATTTTAAATTGTTCGAGCTAGGTCTTGAAACTCTTCATTTTCGATTCTAAGCTTCCAAGACGCGCATAACATCGAAAACGTGCCCGGACTACGCCATGTTGGTTGTAGTCCATAAGTAAATAAATTTTGGATGTAAAATGAAATTTCATGTGTTTCAGAACCTACGTTAGGTCCTCCATATTCCCGTGGTAAAATTTGAAACTAATCGATACCCCTCAATTCGGGAAATACTTTCTCAAACGATTTAACTTCTCAGATATATATAGGCTGACTCTTTCATATCTTCTTAAGAATTTGAATATTGTCTTTATTTTACCTTAATTTCATCCAATCTTATTTCGCGGATAGCAGCCACTAGAGCCATCTATTCGGCCCGAATTTCATTATAGAAAGTTGTAGAATTAAAATTATAGAATCATTATATTTCATTCTCAGAATTTCTTTCTAGAAAGTGATTTTTTCGCTCAGTATGTGAGTAAAGCGTTCCCAATGAGCGGCAAACTTACGTACTTGTTAAGTCTCCCTCGTTATTAATTAGTTAACAAATAAAGTTAATAAATTAAGTTAACTTCCTAATAACCTGATTTTGATTTTCCAGATTTTTGGAATCCGGTGTTCTCGGACACTTTGCAGTCAACTTTCCAGAATTGACTCGGCCAAGGCGGCCTCGTCGGCTTTCTGGAAACAATTCTGCGAGCAATCTGTAAATACTTCGGCTCCGCTGTAAACGTGAAACGTGCTCGACGTCCTCGATGAATAATAATTCCGTGGCAGCCTAATTGAACGCTGTCGCAAGCTGTAATTCAAGGGGAAAATTGCTCGGCGAGAATAAATGGAGTATAAACAGAGATGAGTTGGGAGATTGCTCACGGGCAGGGTCGTGTGATTGCATCGTGTGCTGCCCTCTGATTTCGTACGTTAGCTTTCACCGTTTTTTGCCCCCAAGGGAGGCGCAACGAATTTCTGGTAGGGGCTCGCGCAATCGCGACGGCTGTGCTATCTACCAGTTGCCGTTGGCGGCTCACGTATTCGCGATGGTAATATCATGCGGCAGTTGACGGTGGTGGCTTACCATTATGGCAATCTCCTAACTCATCTCTGCCAAATCAGAGATGAGTTGAGAGATTCACGGGAAGGATC